TCCCCAAGGCTAAATTAACAAGGGGGCGACTCAAATCTCCTAATTATTCTTCATCCACTCCCAAGACTGAGTTAACAAGGCCTATGGGCAGTTTCGGCATGACTCAAGATCTCCCAGTCACGCTGACATTTCCTTATATGCGACCACTGACATTTTAGAGTAACTTTTTGGAATTTACAACCATGTAGACTTTAAATCTTACAGTTCCTTAAAGGGGGGGTGAATGGACAGTTGCAACAATCAAGGAAGCTATCTTGGTACATTTAGATACACAACTTTGAATCAAACACGAGAAATATAAGAACCCTGATTCCCAGAGACTTGACCTATAACACTTTGATGATTATCCTGTCTTGCTTTAATGATCCTGAATTGCTGTTCACCTGATGCCATCTCAGTTGTTGTCAGGTTGTAGATTAACCTCCTAGGGTTATTTCTGAATCTTGCCTTGGGGTTTCCAGGTGATTGCAGAACAATGAGGCTCTAAGCAATGAGGTTCTCAAGTTTGTTCCAAGATTAGCCTCTGGAATTTCTCAAGCAAGTATACAATTAGAACAATGGGTATGTGCTTAATCATAATCATAGGATCATTGTGTAAAGGGAGCCCAAAGAGGAAAAGAAAGAAAGAAAAAAACCTTACAGTGTTCCTACAACTGTAAGTTCACAGCAACAACAAAAGCAATTTTTAAAAACTGATATTCTCGATGCATTTAGACTATAGAAATGGCTTATTTAGAAGTGTGTTACTTTATTCCTCAAATGTTGGGGGAATTTCTAAGTACCATTCTGTTATTAATTTCTAATTTAATTACATTGGGTGAGAGAACATATCTTGTATGATTTGAGACCTTTTGAATTTAGCGAAACTTGTTTTATGGTTTAGATTACTATCCATCTTTTAAACATTCTGTATACACTTTAAGAAGCATGTTTATTCTGCTGCTTGTTGGAAGTGTGTTTTATAAATGTCAATCATGTCAAGATGATTGATAGTGTTGTTCAAGTCTATTATAAAGTTGCTGATTTTCATATTATATATATTTATTTATTTTAAAAGTGTGGAGTACAATTACTCAGGGTTGATGTTGATGAGGTGTGCCCCTCCCCAAGTTGCTGTTCTGCTTACTTGCATTGTAAATTATTCAGAGAAGGGTAGACATCTCTGACTGTAAGTGTGGATTTTTCAGTTTCATATTGCAGTACTATCAGTTTTTTCTTCACGTATTTTGAAGTCCTGTTATTAGGTATATACATGCTTAGGATTGTTATGTCCTTTTGATGAAATGATTCCTTTACCATTATGAAATGACTTTCTTTATCTCTGGCAATATTCTTTGTTCTGAAATCTACTTTGTCTAATATTGATAATGCCATCCAGCTTTATTTTGACAAATTTTAGCATGATATATCTTTTTTCATCCTTGTACTTTAAACTTATTTGTGTCTTTGTATTTAATGTGTTTTCTTCTTATAGGCAGTAATTTAAAAAAATTCAACCTGACAATCTCTGTCTTTTCGTTTAGATTGTTTATATTTAATGTGATTAAAAATATGCATCTATCATCTTGCTATTTCTTTCCTCTTTCATATTTTCTTTGTTTCATTTTTTGGTTTTGTGTCTACTTTTAGATTAATCAAGGTTTTATTTTATTATCCTTTATATCTCTTTCATAAGCTTTTAATGATAATTCATTATTTTAGTGGTGGTTTTGGGTTTAGGGTTTACATCTTCAGCTTATTATAGTCTGCCTTCAAGTGATATTATAGTACATCAGAAATAGTATAAGAACTTACAACAGTATACTTCCATTATAGTTAATTATCTTTTTTTTTTTTTTTTTTTGAGTTGGAGTCTCACTCTGTCGCCCAGACTGGAGTGCAGTGGCTGCTCCCAGCCACTGCAGCCTCGACCTGCTGGGCTCCAGCGATCCTTTCGCCTCAGCCTTTCGAGTAGCCAGAATTACAGGCACGCCCTACCATGCCCGGCTGATTTTTTGATTTATTGTAGAGATGAGGTCTCGCTGTCCAGGTGGGTCTCGAACCCGCGGGCTCAGGCAATCCACTCACCTCAGCCTCCCAAAGGCGCGGGATTACAGGCTGAGCCACCGAGCCCGGCTATAGTTAATTATCTTTTAAAGAAATTTAAATAATACGAAAAATAATCTGTATATTTCCTCCAGTAGTTACCATTTCCAGTGCTCTTCATCTTTTGTATAGATCCATATTTCTATCTTGTATAATTTTCTTTCTGCTTGAAGTATCTCCTTTATTTTTTTTTTAAATTTTTAAATTTTTATTTATTTATTCTTTAGTTGGAGTCTCACTCTGTCGCCCTGACTGGAGTGCAGTGGCACGCTCCCGGTCACCGCAGCCTTGATGTGCTGGGCTCTGGTGATCCTTCCACCTCAGCCTTCCAAGTAGATGAAACTACAAGCGCGCCCTACCATGCCTGGCTAATTTTTGATTTATTGTAGAGATGAGGTCTCATCAAGTTGCCAGGGTGGGTCTCAAACCCGTGGGCTCAGACAATCCACTTTTGGCCTCCCAAAGTGCTGAGATTACAAGCTGAGCCACCGAGCCTGGACGAAGTATCTCCTTTAACATTTCTTATAGTGAGTGAGTGCTGGTGATGAGTTCTATCAGTTTCTATATGCATGGAAACATCTTTATTTTATTCTCATTTTTTATGTTTTCATTTATTATTTTTTTGAGTCACTGTCTCGTTCTGTTGCCCAGGCTGGAGTGCGGTGGCACAATCATGGCTCACTGTAGCTTCAATCTCCTGGGCTTAGGCAATCCTTCTGCCTCAGCATCTCAGGTAGCTGGGAATACAGGCATGCACCACCACACCTGGCTAATTTTAGAGATGAGGTCTTGCTATGTTGCCTATGCTGGTCTCGAACTCCTGGGCTCCAAGTAATCCTCCTACCTCAGTTTCCCAGACTTTTGGGATTACAGGCATGAGCCACTGCGCCAGGACTCATTCTCATTTTTAAAAGATATTTTTTGTTAGTTATAGAATTCTAGGTAGACTTTTTCTTTGAATACTTTAAAATTGTTATTCTGTCTTTTTGCTTGCTTTTTTCCTAATAAGAAACTGATGTTATCTTCAGTTTTGTTCCTCTGTACTTAACATATATTTTTTTTCTTGGCTAATTTTAAGATTTTTTTTTTTTGGTCACTGATTCTAAGCAATTTGATTATGATGTACCTTAATGTAGTTTTCTTCATGATTCTTGTGCTCAGGCTTCACTGAACTTATGAAGGCACGTCTGTGGTTAAAGATGCTGATAGAAGGATTGAAGTGGTCATGGGTGGTTATGGAAGTTCTCTTCTGATTAATTCAGTGTTATCAATGAAGTAGAAACTGAGATTATTGACTGAGACTGAGGAAAGGGGAATAGATGTTGAGTAGGAGAGAAGGTACCAGTAGTAAGATGCTCAAGCAATGCCTATAATCTCAGCACATTGAGAAGCTGAGGTGGGAGAATTGCTTGAGTTCAGGAATTCAAGACCAGCCAATGCAACATAGTGAGACTTTGTCTCTACAAAAAGTCAAAACGTTTACCGGGCACGGTGACATGTGTCTGTAGTCCCAGTTACTTGGGAGGCTAAGGCAGGAAGATTGCCTGAGCCCAGGAGGTTGCGACTGCAGTGAGCTGTGATTGCACCTAGCTTGGGCTATAGAATGAGACTTCGACTCAAAAAAAAAAAAAAAAAGTTCAAGCATTTTATTTTTTTATTTATTAGTTTTTATTTTTTTCAAAAGCAGGATTTATTGAGAGGATAGAAAAGCTCCCACAGTGGGAGGGGACCCCAAGGGGTTGCCCAAGTTCAACTATTTTAAAGGGCCCACTTAACATTAGTGATCATGAATTTAAAGTAAGCATGGATGGGTGTGTTTTTTTTTCCTTCAGGTTCAGCTGCATTGATGCTAGTACTTAAAGTGTAAAGTTGGGTCAGCTAGTATTAGGGTTTTGCCCAGCGATTACAGCAACTGAGAAAGGGGCAGGGAGTTATGGATGCAAGCAAGTGGATGATTATATTGATTAATCATTAAACACATCGACATCAACTTTCCTCAGAGTGGCAACTATTTGAAAGCAATTCCTTGCATCTATGAGGCACTGGATATGTTACTTGCAGACACACAAATGGGTGTGTCTTAACAGCGGAAAGCCAGGGGGCTGTAAGAAATTAACCTTGTTTTTGAATGAAGTGCTTTGTGAAGTTCTTAATGTGGTCCACAGGAGCTCTGCCTGTCCTGCCTCCAGCCTCTCAGGACAGCCTCCCCTCACATCAAAGTCCCACTGTTCTCTGAACTCCAGACACACAGGACTTCTTACTGTTCCTTGCATTTGCCATGTCTTTGCACATGCAGTTCCCTCTGCAGGAATGCTCTTCCCTTCCTACTGGCCTACTCATCTTTGTGTTTCAACATTTCTGAGTGATTCAAATATTCCTGTAAGAATAAGCTTAACATCTAGTTAGTGTGCTTTCTTCTTAGCACTTGTCGTAGTTTTAATCCTATATTCGTGTCGTGATAGGCGTCTGCTACTACGCTGTAAGCTCCCTGATCTTACCTGTTTTTGAACCTAGTGCATAATAAACATTTTAAAATAAATGAACAGCGGTGCAAGCAAACAGGTGTGCTGTGTGAAGTCTGGTGAGGAGATCAACATTTTTCTTTTGGAGAATTCTCGGGGCATTGGCTAATGCTACATCCCTATCCTTTAAAGATTTGCCCCGAAGCCTGCAGAGAGCACACTTGGAGAACACAAGAGACACCACTCGCCTAGCCTCAGGGCCGACCGGATCTTCGGGAGGCGCCTGCGCACTGGGTTCGCCGGACCTACGCAAGGGCATGAGGCGGGGCTCTGGTAACCTGGGCAACAGCCCGGAAGCCGCGGGCCGCGTTCATTCGCGGCGCGCTCCGCGGTTCCGGAGCCTGAAGTTTTGGTCGCCTTGGAGGCAGCGATGAGAAATAGCCCAGCAGGTTGAGATAATGGAGCGGAGTCCTGCATCCTGCAGTCCCACCGAGCCTTAGGGACCAGGCTACATACAGCGGGGAGCACGGTGGTGGCGCCTCTCTTTCTGCTCCCGGGGACCTCGTCGCCTAGGTTGGGGAATCCTTACTCCATCTAGCGCCGCCGCGGCTGTGTGTGTTTTGAGGCTATGTGTGCGTGTCAAGACGCCTTGTCTGGCCTTGTTTGTATCTAGCGCGCTACAGGAGCACCCTGGGTTTGCGCGTGCGCACTGCCTTCGGGAATTTTTGCGCGTAACCAGAATTTGGGGGTACTCGGTGGCAGCTTTTCGAGGAGTTGACCGCTAGCCGTAGAGAGAAACTACCCAGGGTACGTTGGGAGCGGAAGGGTCATTTAAATCCATAGATGTCAGAGAGGTTTCTGAGATGGGGGCGGCCTGAATGAGTTTTGAGGAGTCCGTGGGAGTTAATTCGGTAGAGAAGGGAGTGAGAGTCTGCAGGATGTTGCAAGCAGAGGGAAAAGAATGGTTGGAACTATGTGTGAAGGCGAGAGCTTGGTTTTAGGATGTGTGGGAGATGGGAAAGGAGAAAGGACTGGGCCGCATAGGGGAGGGCATCTGCAGGTCAAGCGGGCTGGATTCTCTCTGCAATGGGGAGCCCTTCAAATCTTTAGAGGAAGTACTAAGTACAGGGTTCAGAGCTATACTTCATCCATACATCTGGGTAGGATTGATTCAGGGGAGTGTTTGGGAAGAATTCTTATTTCCCTTTGATCAGTTTTCTACACTAGTCAGAGTGGATTGGCTAAATCCCATCGTAACTCTCCCTGCTTAAAATTCTTCTGTGGCTTCGTATGGTCTTTAGGGTACTGTTCACTTTGCTGTGGCTTCCAAGACCACAATCTGCCTTTCTTTTCTAGAGCCTCTCACCCTCTCAGATCTTTGTTAATTGGATTGAACTTCTCAAGCTCTTTGTACATGCGTTTTCCCCTTCATGGAATATTCTTTTCCCTGCTTCTGGCTTTTATTCATACTTTAGCTCTCAGTGTAAACGTTTTTGGGGGTATTAGGGAGAGGAGGCGGCCTTTTCTTACTGTGTAGAGTACATTAGGTACTTCTGTGGCACATGGAATTTACTTTCTACGTTGTCTTTTTATTCTAAGTACTTAATTGTAGTCCTCTGATAAACACTAAGCTCTGTGAGGGCATAGACTATTCAGCTTTCTTGTTATATCTGGTGCCTGTCTCTTAGCAGATGCTTTATTTACTCTTTAAGTTGGTGTCTCACTCTCTCACCCAGACTGGAGCTCAGTGGCACACTCCCCGCCACCCAGCCTCGACCTCCTGGGTTCCGGCTATCCTTCCACCTCAGCCTTCCTAGCTGGAACTACAGGCCCCCACGTGCACCGAGCTAATTTTTGATTTATTGTAGAGACAGGTCTCGCCAAGTTGGCCGGGTGGGTCTCGAAACGGCGGGCTCAGGCAATCCTATTCGGCTCGGCCTCCCAAAGTGCTGGGATTACAGGCTAAGACACCAAGCCCAGCCGCAGATGCTTTCAAAATATTTGTTGGATTAATAGATGGATGATGGAGTGAATGAGTGAAAGGGAGACCAATTAGAATAATGAAAGCCTGAACAAAATATTTTTAGAAGCAATGGAGAAGCGTGGACAAAAGAGATTTTTTAGGGAAAATTTTAATAGATTGTGTTATCTGATTGACTAAGAGACAGGAACTGAGGTGATGCTAAGGTTTTTTGTTTTTTGGGGTTTTTTTTGAGTTGGAGTCTCACTCTGTCGCCCAGACTGGAGTGCAGTGGCCGCTCCCGGCCACCGCAGCCTCGACCTGCTGGACTCCGGCGATCCTTCCGCCTCAGCCTTCCAAGTAGCCGGAATTACAGGCATGCACTACCACACCCGGCTGATTTTTTGATTTATTGTAGAGATGAGGTCTTGTTGCCCAGGCGGGTCTCGAACCCGTGGGCTCAGGCAATCCACTCACCTCAGCCTCCCAAGGGTGGGGATTACAGGCTGAGGCACCGAGCCCGGCTGATACTGTTTTTAAAATGGAGCAACTAGAAGGTAATTTTGTAAGTTCAGCTTATTCAACAGACAGTTACTGAGTTATTCAATTATATATCAAAAACTAGAGATTTGAAAGGTATGAATGATGAGCTGTATTTTTTTTTTTTTAAAGCAGGATTTATTGAGAGGACAGGAAAGCTCCCAGAATGGGAGGGGACCTGAGGGGTTGCCCGCTGTATTTTGATATACTGTATTTGAGAAATTTGGAAGATATACACTGTAGACAGAAATGAACATTTGATTTTTTTTTTAAGAGACAGGATCTTGTTGCCCAGGCTGGAGTGCAGTAATGTGCTCATAGCTCACTGTAGCCTTGAACTCCTAGGCTCAAGGGATCCTTTTGCCTCAGCCTTCTGAGTAGCTGGGACTATAAGTGCATACCACCAAGTTTGGAGTTTTGAGGAAACGTGTCTCTCATTGATTTGGGACTCAGTGTGTTTGTACGTCTAATACATTCATAGCTTTGCTCAAGGGAGTAGGTAAGATCACTGAGGGAGGATACAAATTAGATAATGTAGTGATGATCTAGAAAGTAACTCCATGAGAGCTGGCACCATATTAGACTTGTTTACTGTTGTATCTCTAATCCCTAGCAAGTGCTTGGTGTGTGGTAGACTCTCTCAAACAATTATTAGATGAAAGGAGAGGATATCTAATGGACATACAAAAGTACTGGGCTAGAACTGGGAGGAGGCCCTTGATTAAGTTGTATGTGAGGAGGGGGCCAGTGGAGCCTGTGAAGAAAAGGAGAAAAGAACAACCAGGAGAAAGCGTGTCATGAAAGCCAAGTCTGCACAGCTGGAAAGGACTAGATTGTAGATTTTAATGTATTGTAGATTTTGTCCAAACAGGCCTAGATTTTTTTTGCTGCACTAACTATATTATTTGATTTCTTAGCACTATAAAACATTAGAATATCTCCAGTCTTACATTTTAACAGTAAACTACAGCACCTTATGATTTCTGGTTTCTATAAGTGGCACAAAATTCCTTTGTTATATCGCAAAGTCTGATCCTTGGTTAAGAACAATTTGGTTGCCATTATTGGTGATGTTCAAGAGAATACTTTTCAGTATAGAGCTGGGGTCAGAGTTTCTGTGTTAACAAAACTTTGAGGTATAACTAAGGGTTAGTTATACCTCTTCATGAGATTTAACGGTAAAAGGAAGGACAGAGATGGGATAATAGCCTAGTTCCACCTTTGTGATCTTAACCATACACAGGTTGCAATTTAGAGTTGGCCAGTTTACTAGTTACCTGTGTATCAAATTACCACAAATTTAGTGGTGTCAAACAATTACATATTTATTCATCTCAAAAATTCTGTGGACTATGAGTTTGGACATGGGTTATGCTAGGTTCTCTGCTTAGGGTCTCACAAAGCTGTCATCAAGTTGTTGCCCAGTTTGCATTCTGACCCGAGGTTCACCTTGGTAAAAATCCACTTCAGTGTGCATTCTGGTTGCTGGCAGAATTTATTTCCTTGTGGCTGTGTGACTGAGCCTCATTCTTTCCTCCTTCCACCCCTCAGCTTCTTACCAAAGTCTGTTCTCATGTCCTAGAGGTTGCCTGCAGTTGCTTGAATTCTTGCCACTGGCCTTTTCCAGAAGCAGCTACAACATGGCAGTTTGCTTCTTCAAGGTCAGCAGGAGAGCATTGTTTGCTGTACTCTTCCAAGACAGTCTTGTATAAACTCTGTAATTATAAGAATGACATCTCTGCCGGATGTGGTGGCTCATGCCTATAATTCCAGCACTTTGGGAGGCTGAGTTGAGAGGATTACCTGAGCCCTCAGGTTTGAGACTAGCCTGGGCAGCTTGGTGAAGCCTCATCTCTACAATTAAAAAAAGAAAATTAGCTGGGCATGGTGGCGTGTACCTGTAGCTTCGGCTACTTGGAAGGCTGAGGCGGAAGGATTGCTTGAGCCCAGCAGGTCGAGACTGCAGTGGCTGGGAGTGTGCCACTGCACTCCAGCCTGGGTGACAGAGTGAGACTCCCAACTCAAAAAAAAAAAAAAGAATGACATCTTTCCCGACTTTCGTGTTATTTTGTTGGCTAAAACAAGTCAGAGGTCCTTCCCAAATTTAAGGGGAGGTGATTACACAAGCAAGGGCATGACTCACTGGAGGTCATCTTAGGATGAACATAACCATCTTTACTGGGCTAAATTGAAGTCAAAAACTTGATAACAGATGCACACTTCCAAGTTACCACTGTTTGTATTTGTCAAGTGAATATAGTTTCATTAAATGTAGCATTTTCTTATGTTAAAATTAATAATTTCACATTCACACAAATAATACTCAGACATTTGGTCATCTCTTTAATTTCCATATCTCTTTGCTTTTTAAAAAAACCTTTTCTGTTTGATACATTGTATTTACTATCAGAAACCATTAGGTGCAAACAACTATGATCTTTAAAAATACTGCTTTTTCTAAATTTTTTATGTTGCTGTATTAAGGACCTCACCTATGAAATAAAACAAGTACATGGACCTTTTGACTGCTGTTTTGACTACTCATAAGCCTTTGCATACTTCAGATTCATGACTGGTTTTTCAGAATTGAAGTTGGTGGAATTTTAGCCTCTGAATAAGTTAATATCTTAAATACTTAATTTTGAAATAGAATTCTGCCCCCCCCCTTTTATTGAGTTGAAGTCTTACTCTGTTGCCCAGGCTGGAGTGCAGTGGCATACTCACGGCCACCCCAGCGTCAACCTGCTGGGCTCCGATGATCCTTCTGCTTCAGCCTTCCAAGTAGCCGGAACTACAGGTGCGTGCTACCATGACCGGCTAAATTTTTTTTTTTTTTTTTGTAGAGACAAGGTCTCGCCAAGTTGCCCAGGCTGGTCTTAAACCCACGGGATCAGGCAATCCGCTCACCTCGGCCTCCCAAAGTTCTGGAATTACAGACTGAACCACCAAGCCCAGCCTTCCCTATTCTTAAGAGTGACATAGATTCACTGTAGAAAGTTTGGAAAAAATAGATGCAAGCAGAGGTAACCCAATTCTAGCAAAGTTTTCTGGCATGTGCCTTACACTCGGACCTGGTTTTGATGTCAGCTCTCAGGTCTGCCCATTATTATTTGTGTGACTTCAAGCGATTTACTTACTCTCTTAAAGCCTCATTTTTCTCATTTGGGAAAGGGGTTGATAGTTGTTAGTCCTGAAATAATTATCCTCAACACTTAGAACTCTGTATATGCCAGGCAGGAGTTCTAAGCACATATATATATGTGCTTCATATGTTCTAAGCTCATATATATTTAATATTTTATTAAATATATTAATATTTGATATTTTATTAAATACTTTAATATTTATTAAATATATAAATAAACATTCATATGTTCTAAGTTCATATATATTTAATATTTTACAGTTAGTGACAAAACTGGGATGTGAACTCAGTCTGATTCCAGATTGTACTCTAAGCCCCTATGCTATATTATCTCTCAAGGTAGTACATGCCTTACAGCGTTGTGGGATCAAATGTGAAGCTCTTAGCACAGATAAGTGGATTTGTTTGTTTGTTTGTTTTTTTGAGTTGGAGTCTCTCTCTGTCATCCAGGCTAGAGTGCAGTGGCATGATCACGGCCACTGCAGCCTTGACTTGCTGGGCTCAGGTGATCCTTCTACCTCAGCCTTCCAAGTAGCTGGAACTACAGGCACACACCACCATGCCTGGCTATTTTTTAAAAATTTTACTGTAGCAATGAGGTCTTGCCAAGTTGCCCAGGCTGGTCTCGAACCCGTGGGCTCAGACAATCCTCTCACCTTGGCCTCCCAAAGTGCTGGGATTATAGATGTGAGCCACCGTACCCAGCCTGATAAGTGCATTATTAATAATGCATATATTAACATCATTGTGAATCCACTGTACACATGGTTCCAGATTCTACTTTTTATACTTATTATGTATTTTCCTGTGTCATGAAACATTCTTAATATAATTCTAATGGACGCATAACTCATCATAGATTTACTGGCATTTATGATTCCCCTTTGTTTCCAAAGAGTAAATTGGAGATCTAAGTGGTTAAAGTACTAGGAAACCATTTCTTAACCCAAGGCTTACGAAGGTGTGCTCTTCTGTTGTCTTCTAAGAACTTTGTAGTTTTAGCTCTTACACTTATATCTATGATTTATTTTAAATTAATTTTTGTATATAGTATGAGGTAGAGGTCAAGTTTCATTCTTTTTCATATTCTTTTTCATTCCAATTGTGCCAGCATCATCTGTTGAAAAGACTATTCTTTCCTTATTGAATTATCTTGGCACCATTGTTGAAAAGAAACTGACCATAAATGTAAGGGTTTGTTTCAGACTCTTAGTTCTATTCTGTTTCATATCTTTTAACGTGGTATTTGTGACTCAGTTTACTAACTCTGACTTTCACAGTTGGTTAATCTTTGTCCCTTAATTTTCTCATCTGCAAAATGAGTAATAAATAGTAAGTACCTCATGGGGTTCCTGTGAGGATTATAAAGATAATGTGTAAAGAGCTTAGACCAGTACCAGACTTATAGTAAGCACTCAGTATCAGTTGATGCTGTCGTTACCACTGCTACCACTGTCACCATCGTCATCATCATCATCATCATCAGTGTTACTCTCTAACTTTTGTGTGACTTTTTCCCTTTGGCTGAGTTGTAAACTCTGAAATTGGATACCATATTTAAAGAGTTATATGTGCTTGATAAGAGAGTAAAGAGAACAACGAAGATGGAGGGCAAACTCTTGAGAAACACTTGCAAGTTAGGCATTTTAGTTACAGTAGACCACGATTTTTAAAAATCCATATCCTTAAGGAAAATACTAGAGTCTTTGTTTTAGGCTGATTGGGAATAAGGGGGTCATATGGAAAGTTCTGTAATTCTTTAGGTAGGTAAAGAGGTTCTGGAATAAGAGCCATCAAGTGTTTCTTTTTATTTTATTTATTTATTTATTTTTTTATTTTTTGAGTTGGAGTCTCACTCGGTCGCCCAGACTGGAGTGCAGTGGCCGCTTCCGGCCACCGCAGCCTCGACCTGCTGGACTCCGGCGATCCTTCTGCCTCAACCTTCCAAGTAGCCGGAATTACAGGCGTACGCTACCATGCCCAGCTGATTTTTTGATTTATTGTAGAGATGAGGTCTCGCTGCCCAGGCGGGTCTCAAACTCGCGGGCTCAGGCAATCCACTCACCTCAGCCTCCCAAAGGCGCGGGATCACAGGCTGAACCACCGAGCCTGGCTAAGTGTTTCTTTTTAAAAGTCATATATATATTGTAAAATCCTGGTGTTCAGGGACTATGGGTCTTTTTCTAATTTTGTGTAATATTTGGTTCAGTGTTCTTAGCATTGCTAGTTTAAGAGTGGCAAGCTAATGTTGGCAATTTACTAATTCTAGTTTAAAATAAGTAGCTCCATTTTGTATTATGTGAAGGATATAGTAGAAGTGGTCTCATACCTCATTTGTTCTCTAAAGTTTAGCTACCTTTATTTTAAGGTAAGCACATTATGTACCTGGTAGTGATTTTGAGTGTTAGAGTACTTTTAAAAAAGAACTCCAACTCTCCTTTGTCTTCTCTCTTCACCTTGCATTCATATTGTTAGCATGTTACTGGCATTTTCTCTACTAATTGTGGATTTATGTAACTGATGATAAAGCTATGACTGTTGTCCTAGTTCTCTGCTTTAGGCCATAATTTCTGCATTCCTAGAGTTCTTTATCAAGTATATTTAAGTTATTGACTTGAGACCTCTTTTATTTTAAGTTTCAGTACCAATTAGTTGTAAAATGAGAGAACCAAGTGTTTTTATAGCTTGTTCCTTTCATCATGCTTAATTTGTTCTTCTGAAATTTTAAGATTGTTTTCTCTAGATGTCCTTTTCCCCTCTCTGGTGATGCTTATTACTTTTGCTTGTATTTTTAAAATGTGATATTATTATTATTCCTAGATGTCACTTGTCAGAGTAAACCGCTGCTTTCCCCGAGGAAGCGGAAGAAAAACACTGAAAGTAAAGAAGAAGAAAACTTCAGTGAAGCAAGAATGGGATGTAAGTCTAGGTGGGATAGTAAACAATATAATGGTACTCTGGAGGAATAGATGTCGTGATATGCCCTGGTCACTTTGGACCTGGTTCTGAATGCAGCCGTACTACTTTATTTTGCAATGCTATAAAGGAATACCTGAAGCTGGGTAATTTATAAAGAAAAGAGGTTTATTTGGCTCATGGGTTCTGTGTGGCACTGGCATATACTCCTCATAAAGGCTCAAGAAGCTTTTACTTATGGCAGAAGGCAAGGGGAACTGGCGTGTCACGTGGCCAAAGCAGAGAGAGAAAGGTGGCACCACTCTGTTTGAGTTGGATTCTCACTCTGTCGCCCAGGCTGGCGTGCAGTGGCATTCTCACGGCCACTGCAGCCTCGACCTGCTGGGCTCAGGTGATCCTTCTGCCTCAGCCTTCCAAGTAGCTGGAATTATAGGCATGCACTACCACCAGACTAATTTGATTTATTGTAGAGATGAGGTCTTGCCAAGTTGCCCGGGCTGATCTTGAACCCGTGGACTCAGGCAATCCTCTCATCTCAGCCTCCCAAAGTGCTGGGATTATAGGTGTGAACCACTGTACCCAACGAGTTGCTAATCTTTTAAACAACTAGTTCTCGAATGAACTAACAGAGCAAGAACTCACTAATTATCATGAGAATGGCACCAAGCCATTCATGAAAGATCTTCCTTTGTGACCCAAACACCTCCCACTAGGTCCTACCTCCAACATTGGGGATCATATTTCTTTTTTTATTTTATTTTTTATTGTAAAGATGTGGGGTACAATTCAGGGTTAGGTACATAAGTGGTCATCATACAGGTGAAGTTTGGGCCTCCCATTGGTCCTCACTTAGCCTGGTTTGAGATCAGGTACCTTGGGGATGACATTTCAACATGAGACTTGGAAGGTACAACATCCAAACCATAGAAGGGGTCAGTGTGTAATAGAGTGGGGTGGCTGTCTGGGCATGTTGTATACTAGGTCTTGGAGGGAAGAGCAGAATCCTTTGGGGAGGTTTTTCGAATATACATGTCTAGGCTGTAACCTCTATCTCCTTTGAATAATTGGAATCTTAAGGGGATGAGGAGTGTGTTTAAAAAAAAAAAGTCTTTTTACCTTCACTTTGAGAACTCACTGCAGTAAGACAACTCTAGCACATCTGCATCACTGAAGGCTTAATTTTTGGAGTACCTTTGTAAAATTTGCCCATAGCAACTCATAGCAATAATCATGTGAATGACAATTTTGACTGAAAAAGTAGGTGATCCTTGTCTTATCCTGTGAACTGTTTGTTGCTCATCTTGAGATGCTGTTCAATTTGAGTACAAAGATTTTCTTTTCTTTTCTTTTTGAATCAGAGTCTCACTCTGTCACCCAGTCTAGAGTGCAGTGGCACGCTCACAGCCAACCCAGCGTCAACCTGCTGGGCTCAGGCGATCCTTCTGCCTCAGCCTTCCAAGTAGCCAGAACTACAGGTGTGTGCCATCACACCTGGCTAATTTTTTGATATGTTGTAGAGATGAGGTCTCACCAAATTGCCCAGGCTGGTCTTGACCCCTTGGGCTCAGGTAGTCCTCTCACCTTGACTTCCTAAAGTGCTGGGATTACAACCTTGAGCCACTGCACCCGGCCCAAAGATTTTCTTATGATACAAGACATGTTTCAAATAGCTGGGACATATAATCTCTGGTTCCTAACCTGAAAATCACCTGGTACCAAGTAGACTTATGTCTATCACGGCCTGATACTTTGGTTTGAACTACAAGATTTAGGAACCTTTACTTTTCATTGTGGAGAGTAGTCAGGGACTAGTTTGGATCTTGGAGATTCTTTTGGACTTGGAATCTTCTGGTTTGTAGCCAACCACCTTAGCCAGATATCTTGGGCAAACTGATGGCCTTTGGAGTGGGGCAGTTGGATGTCTCTGTGTTTAGATTGTTTTGTTGCAATCTGATTGGCTGTAAAATATAAGGGTGTAACTCTAAGGAATGAGACTGATTAAGAGAGAAGAAAAAGTATGTGATAACATAAGTATTATCTTCTTCAGACTGGTTACTTTGGTAAGTTCGGTACAGTTGACCCTTGAACAACATGAGTTTGAACTGCATAGGTCTACTTATATGCAGATTTTTTCAATAAATACAGTTGACTATGTCTGTGGGTTCTGCCTCTGTAACCAAAAGTAGATAGAAAATACAGTATTTTCAGGATGTGAAACTCACATATATGAAGGGTCAACTGTGCGGTACTTGAGTATATGTGGATTTTGGTATATTTGGGGTCTGGAACCAATCTCCAATGGATATCATGGGACGACTGCCTTTATTTTGATATGCTGCTAATGTGCTTCCTTGTTTACTTTTCATTATCTCCAGTACGGGAAAAGTCTTTGTTTTTTTAAAACAGACTGATCCTGGAAAATAGTCATAAATCATTTGGAGTGAATGATAAATGATGGAGGAGAGATCAAACTGATTAATACTGTTTTGGTAAAAATAGCGAGACATTTTCTGAAATGGCTTTTAAGTTAGATTTAAAGGCAATTTCAAAATAATATAGGGGCACGTGCCCGGGCTCAGCCCTAGAAGGGAGGGAGAGTTAATGCCACTGAGTCTCCAGGCCCGCCTAGAGGACCCTGTACCAGCAGGCGTGTGGATTTTGCCCTCAGGTCTCTGCTGCCGGAGGCGTCACGTGCCCACCCCTGTCTTGCGTGGCTTTCAGGCGGCCAACCAGTGATGTTTGGTCCTCATGGGAAGACACAAAAACTGCCACTTTTGTCCATTCCAGGTGCTCTGCCCCCCTACACGTCCCACGCTGTCTGTCTTCCTGTGGTCCAGCCTGCGGTGTTCCAGCTTGTCGCAGCTGCCTCGAGGAAGAGGCAGTTTTGTCTCTCTCAGTCCACTCACTAGATCAGAAACAATGGCCCCTGAGGGTTTTGTGTCATTTTCCTGGTTGCAGTGTATTCCTCACAACTATTATGGTTTGGTGGGGGGGGGCACACCTGGAATGGAGGTGTATATCTCCATTCTCTTCCCATGAGGTTGTATATCAGGAATAAGAATCATGAAATTAATCTAGACTAGGGCATTTCTAAGGACCTGGAATGACTTTGGGAAGCACTAGGAGGGCCCGAAAGGAATATTTGAGGGCACAGAGCTACGGAAGAGTTTGCCAACAGAAGAATTTCTGGGAAGCAATTGATTAAAAGCATCAGTAGAGAAACCTTTAGATTTCTGTTGAGTCTTAGTTCAAATTAAGTAAAATATACATTGACGAGAAATCTAAGTCTCAAACATGGAAAATATGTTGCTCAACACCTTAATGTAAATTTGGGAAGACAAATGAAAGCACAGATCTTTTTAATTTTTTAGCTATGGTAAAATATTTGTAAATCTTTTGGGCCATCTCTAAAAGTTGCCATGATTCTGGAACTTGATGACATCTCAAATAGAGAACAGTTTCAGTGAGAAAAATTGCACTTGAGAATATATCAGATGTACCCAAGGAAGAATATCTGAGAGTGGAAAAGTGCCACTAAGAAGTTATTTACATACTTACAAATTACCTTGGTAAACGTAAGAGATACTCAAGTTAAAGTTTAGTCTTTGAGAATGCCATATTGAATGTAATAAAAGTTGGATTTCATTCATACGTACAATAGAAAACTACTAACATTCTTCTTCACTTCAAGATTCTATGCAACTGTTCCCAAATTCCAGATCTCCAGACATCCCAATGTCAGGGTCCTTGTAGCTGGGAGTCCCCAGGGAGATGAACCACTGCCCAGTGACACTATGTACAGAGCAATATGAGCACCATTTTCTTTTCCGTCAGCAAGGTAAAATTGCATCTTTTTGAAAAGGGAGAAGCCATGCTACATCTGTGCTACACAGGATTACTCTGTCATTGCCTTAGTCTTTCACACTCCCTTCTTCTCAAGCATCACTTTTTTTTTTTAACCCTAATCCCATGACAGATTAAAGTATCACTTTTTACTGAGACTTATCCCATCTGGGTTATTGCCAGGAAATTCTCTTGTGGGTACATCTCATTCAATGCCTTCTCTCTTTGTCTTGTTTCTTTTCCTATATTGAATTAGCGAAAGTATGCAGGTTTCCTGGGCCTGCCATATCTGTCAAGGAAGAGAAGGAGCAAGGAGGTTCTAAAAACTAATCACTCATATCTTCCAGGAGCAGCAGCCAGACAGGACTGTGGCAGTGGCAGCTTTCTGAGAATAGAAGACTTTTACCTCTAGATTTTACCTCACGATTATCCCTTTTATCCATTACCCTCCAGCATAAATGCTTGTGCCTTCTGGGGCTATGAGCTAGTTTTTTGTTGTTTTTTAAAAAGTTTTTTTTCTAATTCAGTAAGACTTCTCCCTTTATTTTCTCCTATTGGTTGTTCAAAATCAAATTCAGTATGAGTAAGAGAGGAAAATGTATGACACTGAAATTGGAGGAGAAAATGAAGGTTCTGAGTGGAAGTAAAGCTTAAAAGTGTAATGGATGAATTTGGAATTAGTAAATCAACATTTTATGACATTAAAAATAACTAATTTTGGACTTTGTACTGAAGCAGGACATGCTACTAGTAGGGGCTGAGAAGAGAAAGAGGACAACAGCAGTCAAATGTGGTGATGTAGATGATGTGGTCTATAGAAACGCTCGGCTTATGTCCCTGTTAGAGGTATGGAGCTTCAGGCTGCTGCAGAGAGATTCTCAGTGTTTTGGGTGAACAGATTTCAAAGCTAGCACTGGTTGGCTATTTTCGGTTTTGAAATAGGCATGTGATTGGGAACCGAAAAGTATGTGGAGAACAAGTCCTAAGTTCAACTTCTGAAAACATTGCTCAACACCTTAATAAATTAAAGTCAATCATTATTGGCAAGTCAAAGCTGTCCAAAAGTGTGAAACAGGACACAAGTACATTACCTGTTTTATGTAAACCTTGTAAAGATGTTTGGTTTACCAGAGCATTGTCCGGCATTTTCAACTTAATGTTCTAAGATTCCACGAAGAGGACCTCAGGACATTGTTACTTCTGGACAATTCCCCAGCTTTGCCTTCCCCTGAATCACTGATCAGTGAGGATGGTCAAATAAAATGCATGTTCTTTCCCCATAACTCTTCAACCTTGATTCAACCAACGAATCAAGGTGTGATCTTGAGCTGCAAACAATTTTATAGATGGAAGCAACTTGAAGAGAGTCTTGTGATTTTTGAAAAAAGTGATGATGAACAAGAGATAAAGGAGAAAAAGTTTCCAAAATTAAAATCTAAAAATAAAAATCTAAAATAAAAAGTATAGTTTTTAACTGGGAAAAAAGTTGGGATGAAGTAAAATAAATAGCCATAGCAAATGCATGAAAAAATCTTTACAAAAAGGAAACTGAATATGATCTTCAAGGCCTAGAAGAAGGGGATTACGGAGAAATTCTTGAAAAATGTGGGGGGTTGAAAACCAAACTGAACGATGGTAGTGTGTGGTTAAATGGAGATGATGAAGAAAAGAGCTGGCCCAATAGCAAAAGGTGGGATTTCAAGGGATTTTTTTTCAAAAAGGAGAAGGAGTTAAGAAACCAACTGCTGAATTTAAGTTATCTGCTGTGAGAGAGTTTGGACTACCTTTGACTTTGGTGCTGTCTTACCTGAGTTTCAAAGGTTTCATTTCACACTAAAAGAATTGCAATAAGAAGTAGTAAAGAAACAGTTCCAGAGTAGAATTCATTCCAGAATTGGTAGCTTTTTGAAACCTAGGCCTCACAATATTAAGGATTCCTTCAATGGGCCTTCAACCTCCAGTTCTAATAGTTAGATTTAGTGCTTAAAGATTTCTGCAGTTATATGATAATACATTAATTTTTTAAATTAAAAAAATAAAAGTTTTAATTCATAGTAGTAGTGATGAAGTTATTATGCTCTCTTTTATGACAACTAATTCCAAACATAACACTTATTTGTATGCCTGAATTTTTAAATTAGTAAAAACAATTATTAAAAAAAATTCTCATGATCTTCCTCCCCTTCTTTTTCTTTTTTAGAGACAGGGTCTTGCTGTGTTGTCCAGGCTGGCCTCAAACTCCTGGGCTCAAGGGGTCTTGCTGCCTCAGCCTCCTGAGTAGCTGGGACTACAGGCCGCACACTACTGTGCCTGGCCTATGTCTTGTACCTTTCTCAATTAATGTGAAAGGAGTGACAGTTTTTGTGCAGGAAAGCCTTGAGCTAAATACAAGTCATGACCAAAAAGATTAGCCTTTGAATACATGACAAGCTATTCTGACTCAGTGTATTTCTTATCACTTACAAGTAAAACCCAGGCTGGCTGCGGTGACTCAAGCCTGTAATCCCAGCACTTTGGGAGGCCGAGGCGAGAGGATTGCCTGAACTCAGGAGTTCAGGACTAGCCTGGGCAACTTGATGAGACCTTGTCTCTACAATAAATAAAAAAATAAGCCAGGCATGGTAGTACATGCCTATAATTCCAGCTACTTGGAAGGCAGAGGTGGAAGGATTGCCTGAGCCCAGCAGGTCGAGGCTGGGGTGGCCGTGAGCATGCTACTGCACTACTGCCTGGGTGACAAAGTGAGACTCCAACTAAAAAAAAAAAAAAATGAAGTAAAACCCTAACTTATTTTATTTCCTGTCCTACCAGATCTGTGAAGCAGAATGACTGAAGTTGTTTTGGAAAGGGCCAAGTTGCAGGGCTGCTTCTTAGAGTTGTGCACCACACAATTCCAAGGGGTGCTGTTTACAGGGATTCAATTACTAATGTTACCTCCTGGAGTTGTGCATGTGGTAGCCCTGCCATATTTCAGTTTTGTGTCTTTTTATTTTAAGTGATTATTTTCACATTTTTCGACATTATGCATTGTCCTCAAACTTCATTTCTCATTGTAATATAATAGGTTTCTTTCTTTCTCTCTCTTTCTTTCTTTTTCTTTCGCTTTCCCTCCCTCCCTCCCTCCCTCTCTCCC